TGATAGGAAAACATTTTTCCTGGTAGCCCATAATCTGAACAAGAGTATTCATTTCATTCCCCACATCAAAGCCAACCATTTCAGATTTAGCAAGATTTATCTTAAGCCCAGACACTGCCAGAAAACAGAGGAGAATGCACCTTAGGTTTAAAAGATATTCAGTTTTAGGCTTACAGAAGATCAAAGAATCATCCACGAAAAAATGTGTGAGACTTCAACATGCTTATTACCACTCCCCAAAGAGATAGCTTTGATGAAGTTCAGATCTGTAGCTCTCAAAAATAATTTACTGAGTGCTTCCATCACCATTATAAAGAGAAGATGGGATAGTGGGTCTCCGTGGCAGAGGCCCCTAGATGGATGGAAGAAAAAGGAGGGGCCACTATTCACAAGAACCACAAAGCTAGTGGTAGAAATGCAAAGTGTTGATTCATTTCCTCCATTTGCACCCGAAACCAAAATGTTGCACCATGTAACCAACGAACTTCCAGCTAACATGATCAAAACCTTTTTCCATATCTAGTTTACACATGGTCCCCTTTCTCTTACAAGTAACCAACTCATCCACCAATTCATTAGCAATCATAAATGTGTCAAACACCTTAGACACGGGTCTGATCTGAAGAGAAAATAAGGAAGAAGAAGAAGAATAGAGAAGAAAATGAAGGATATTGAAGAGAGGAAATTGAGGATTTTTATTGATTAATTTCCATTCCGTTTACAAACGATGGAAGATGGCCATTTGTAGGTCTAAATGCAATAAAGTAAACATTCTTATTGGCAGAATCAACTTGTCGGAATTGAGCGGTGTGGTGAGTATGGCATCCACAGCGGGACGAGATGAGGATGGCTAAGGCATCGACTGTGGGATTGATGAGCTGATCAGGATTGACAAACCCTAACCCTAATTGTTTTATTATTTTGTCTTTTTGTATGAATTTCCTAACTTACACTTCCTTTTATTTCACCCTAAATGGATTCCTGACAATACCCTCTCTTTGAGTATCAACCTTATCCTCAAGGTTGATTTGGGAAAAGCCTTTCTTCCAAAGACCCTTCCATGACAATTTCCTCCATGGCCATTACGAATTAATTTGCACAACGGTGTCCTAGAAAATACCGGTCTCTACACTTGTAGCAAGTAATTGTTGCTCTTCTAGGTTCCATATCTTTTCAAAGCGGTTGATCATTGTTTCTTATTTCAGATACTTCCGCGAATTTAACAACTTTATCAATATGATATGAACTTCAGGACAGTTATATAACAGATTGTTCCTGTAGTAAGGCTTGTTCGAATGCTTGATTAAACGTTTGCGACTTGAGAAGTTTTAAAATGGGTTGTACTTGTGGCCTGAGATCACTAATAAAGGTGGATATAAAAAATCTATATGAAAGTGTTGGATTATCTGCGTCCATAAGAGAGTGTAAGTGTTCAAATTTTTCTAAATAGTCGAGAAGAGTACTTGTTTGGGATAGTTTGACAATTCCTCTATGAAATCCTTTCACGATGGTCTCCCAAGTCTACGACAGAGTTCTTTCAAAAAAATATTCCCAATTTATGACATTAATTTTAGCTTGTCATCCACGGTACCATATATCGGCAATTTCTCCTAAGTACAATGATGCAATTGCTACTTTCTGCTCGTCAAGAATATTATAAATAATAAAATATTTCTCACACCTTCCAATCCACCCACGGTGGTTTATTCCTTCGAAAAGTGTAATCTCCACCTTGGGAAGCAAAAGAAATTGGGCAGAACCGCTTCTGGCATAAGATACATTAGGTCGGTTCGGTTTGGGCTGGTTCGGGCGGGAACAGACCCGGTTCGATTCAAACCGGGTCGGGTCGGGTCGGATCAGGCCAATCCACTTCCTCCACTAGTCCGGTTCGATCCAGTGAACCAGGCCTAAATAAGGGTTAAAACCCTTCTGTGCCGTGCGTGGTGTACGGGGGAGCAGAAAAAAGATGGCCACCACTCAGGATAGGAAACAGACCTCCCTCTCCACGCGGATCCGTAGTCTTCGGCTGGTCTTCCGAGGGTGTCGAAGCCCCCAGCCCGTTTGCGCTGCTCGGAAAGAGAAGCGGATCATCTACCTTATGGGTTTCAACCATCAAATGCACCGAGCCTTCTTTGGGTTTCTCCTAGTGCAACGCTTGGCCGCATATCAGCTCTATCAGGCACTCGAACTGATGTTGAAATTCGTCTTCATCTCGTACATTTCTTCCACGAAGGAGGTGAGTTTTTGATCGACGTCCTTCACGGAGACTTCGGTCATTTCGGGTTTCTCCAGCTCGACCGCCGCTGCCTTTCCTTTGGACCGAGTGCGGGGTGTTACCCCGGTGTAGGATTCCGCCGATTTGGGCTCTGATACCACCTTGTCAAACACCTTAAACATGGGTCTAATCTGAAGAGAAAATAGGGAAGAAGAAGAAGAAGAAGAACAGAGAAGAAGATGAAGGATATTGAAGAGAGGGAAAACAGAGGATTTTTATTAATTAATTTCCATTATGTTTACACATGATGGAAGATGGCCATTTATAAGCCTAAATGCAATAAAAGAAACGTTCTTATTGGTGGAATCAAATTGTCAGAATTGCGCGGTGTGGTGAGCATGGCGTCTGCCGCAAGA